TAACTGCTAACACCCAGAATGGAATTAAGTGGACCCCTACAATACAGCTTGATGATCTGGACTTCGCTGACGATATTGCTCTTCTATCCAATTTACGGAATCAGATGCAAGATAAATTATATATACTTAATGCGAGATCACAACAGCTTGGTCTGAAAATCCATAAAGGAAAGACAAAGATAATGAGAATAGTTCAGGCAAATAGTAATGTGGTTTCTCTTATTTGCACCCCACTCCAAGACGTGGAGTCTTACACCTATTTAGGCAGCAATGTAGATAAAGATCGATGAACTGATAGAGATAATAAAATAAGAATACAAAAGGCAAGAGGGGCTTTCATAGCACAAGGGAGTTTGTGGAGGTCAAAAGAAATTAAAAGAAATACTAAACTAAAAAATTTTTAATTCTAATGTCAAATCAGTACTATTGTATTGGGCGGAAGCATGGAGAAAAACCAAGGCAATTGCTAATAAATTACAGACATTCATTAATTGGTGCCTGCGCAGAATAGAGGGAATAAAATGGTATGATTGAATAACTAATATAGAACTTTGGGAGAGAACTAAACAGACTCCAGTGGACCAAGAGGTGAGGAAAAGACGTTGGATAGGGCACACACTGAGAAAACAGGAGGACAGCATAACTAGAATGTCTTTGCATTTGAACCCACAGGGGCATAGGAATAGAGGAAAGCCAAAAAATACATGGAGAAGAGAGCTGGAGAATGAGGTTAGAAAGATTGGGAGGACATGGGGAGAGCTCCATGCAATGGCGAAGTATAGAACGACTTGGCGTGAGTTGGTTGAGGGCCTATGTTCCATTGGGGATAGAAAGGCAGAAGAGAGAAGAAGAGAGATAATTATTCACGGGGGTCACATAACTCTTTGAGTCCCACGGAACGCATCATACGTTCATAGGTTCCTACCTAGAAACTCAATGAATGCATGATGCTCTGATTTTATTACTTTCTTTACTACACCCTGGGCCTGTGATGCTAAACCCCTTGGGACTCAAAGAGATAAAAACTGCTGGCCAAATGTAATTCGTGTAAAAACTGAGAACGCGAATTCAAAAGCACGAGGAGGGCATTAGAAGGTTATATAATGCCTGAGAAAGAGCTGATAGTCAGTCTCGTTTAGACCTAGGAAATGAATACATGAAGTATGATGGAGTGTCTGTGGGATCCAGAAAGAGTGTTTAAGTCCGATGTGTCTGCACAGTGTTTTTCCAACACCTACCTGGCCATCAGTAGCGGCGAACGAAAGTCGTAGCCAGCTGAGAATGTCTGTGTTTTGATCGGATGGAAATTTTTGTTGTTCATTTAATTGTTGGATGGCAAATAGATATTGTAAGGTAAAGTTTACATGTTAGTTAAGTGAGAATAGATATGAGTGACTATGTTGTCCATTAACATTTCTTTTTCTTCTTCTTCACTTCCTCTTTTACCGCTGTTTGTGTCGAGGGAGATATAAGGTTCTGTTTCTAGCTCTTCTGGCCGCCTAGACCATAGGCACATAGTGTTGTTGTTGTAGAGTTTCTCTGATGTTATCATTCCATCTTGTTCTTAGTCTATCTCGTGCTCTACGTTCTTCTTCTCTTTCCATGTATGCATTGTATGGTATGATGTCACAGGGCATTCTCTCTAAGGGGGCAAACCATTTCACTTGCTGTCTTTGTATGTAACCCAGAATTGGTTCTGTGCCAACTTTTTCTCTTATGATCTCATTCCTGATTTTATCTCTTACGGTCACTCCTACAGCCCTTCTCAGACATCTCATTTCCATGGTTACTAATTTTCTTTATATTTTGTTGTGAGTGACCATGTCTGGCACTAGTAGCACAGAGTTGGAATAAATATGCTTTGAATAAGATGTCTCTTTGTGCTGATTGGGGTTGTCTTATGCTGTAAGAGGGGGCTAGCTGTCCCAATACTTGGTTTGCTTTACTGCATCTAATGTTATTTTCCTTATCCAATTTCCCATCTTCGGTAAATGTAGTTCCCAGATATTTAAACGCAGATGTCTGTTTAATGCCTTTGCATTCTATTGCTATATTTAGATCTGTCTTCTTTTTTTTCCTATTGACATTACTTCTGTCTTTTCAGTGTTGATTCTCATATTATTTGTTTTACATTCTTCATTCATGGATGTTAGATGTTGTTGCAATTTCATGGCTGTATCTGCTATCAAGGCCTGATCATCTGCAAAGAGTAATTCGTTGATCTTACTAACATTTTCATTCATGGGCTTGGCATTCTTTCATATACTGTCGATGTCGGTGATAAACAGCAGTGGTGATAAGACACACCCCTGTCTTACTCCAGAACCATTAACATTTGCTGGCTGCAATACCAGCGAGTGAGCAAAAAAACTGTAAGTGTAATTTGGATCGTTCGCCAGCGTCCATGTTTTCTGGTGTGTTGATAGTCAGTGAATGGAAGCGTGCAATGACTAGAACCAGAAGAAGACAATAGAAAGTCATTGCAGCTTCAAAGTTCACAGCCAGTAAACTCTAAGGAGATGCGCGGTTATACAGGATTATAACTTTCACAACAGCCTTCTCTATTATCATAGCAGAATTGCTAAGTTCCAGAGAAAATATGTAACTAGAAAAAACATAACTAGTCCTTCTTTTTTTTTTCACCGACTGTCTTCTTCTTCTTCTTCAGCATTCCGAGCGCTTGAGATTCATTGATGCAGTTATCTCCCACCTCCATTCATCTCCTTGGCTGGCCTTCTCTTTTCAGTTGGTGACCCAAAGTGTAATAATAATGTTAATAATGATAAAATTAGTATTATTATCACAAATACTATTATTAATTATTATTAATAAAAAAAGCGATAAAGACCATTTAGGAACATAGGAAAGAATACATTTCAACTATAAAGAATAGTCTTCTTTTTCTGCCTTTCTAGCCCCCAATGGAGCATAGACCCTCCACCAGCTCGCGCCAAGCCGTTCTATCCTTTGCTATCGCATGCAGCTCTCCCCATGTTATCGCCATCTAACTTCATTTTTCAGCTCTCTTTTTTATGTCTTTTTTATTCTTCCTTTATTCCTATGACCGTGTAGGTTCCAATGCAAAGAAATTCTTGTTTTATTTTTTTGCAAAGTATTTCCTATCCAATTTCAGTGTATTTTCTTTACCTTTTGGTCCATTGGAACTTGCTTAGTTCTCTTCCAAAGCTCTACATTTGTGACTCTATCATTCGATTCAAATCCCTCTATTCCGCGCAGGCACCAGTTAATGAATGTCTGTAGTTTATTAGTAATTGCCTCAGTTGTTCTACATGTTTCAGCTCCAAACAAAAGAATTGATTTGACATTATTTTTAGTATTTCTTGCGAAGAATGGTGCCATGGGCAAAATAAAAATGTCCTGCTAGACTTTTTCAAGGGGAAAAAAAAAGTGTTTTTAAGAATCTTTCTTGTAATTATTATTATTTTTTTTTTTTTTTTTTTTGTTGCCATGAAGAACACAAAACGCTAAAAAGGCATTCCATCATTTGATTTGGGGACTGCTGCCCTAAACTACATTTGTTGGAAGAAAAGGCTAGAAATAGCTGAGAATCGTGCTGTTATTGTACATAATGTGGAGGTACCAGGCAGGAGTAAATTCTTCTTCTTATCCTTCAGCATTCTGAGCCCTTATGGTTCATTGTTGCGGATATCACCCACCTCCTTTCATCTCTCTGGTTGGCCTTCTCTTTCCAGTTGGTGACACCAAGTGTTTTTAAGTCTGTCTGGATATTATCTCTCCATCGTCTTCTTGGTCTGTTTCGTGGTCTACGACATTTAGTCTCCCTTGTGAATAGTTTTCACTTCTCTTTCATTCGATAATCTCTCAAAATGCCCCAACAATTTCTGTCTATTAGCTTTAATGATGCCAGTTATCAATGGTGATTTGAACAGATTATGAATTTCGTTGTTGCTTCTCATTCTCCATTCCCCAGTGTTTGCATCTTTGATGGGTCCAAACATTCGTCGTAAGACTGTTTTCGAAAACCTGTAATAAAGCTTTATCTGTTTTAGTTGTGCTTCAAGTTTCAGAGCCATATGAAACAACCGGTATTATCAACGTTTTATATGATCTTGGTGTTGCGGGACAAACACTTTGACTTTAGCAGTTTTTGAAGGGCATATTTTACTTTAATTCCAGATTGTTTTCTAGATTGTATTTCTTTTCTTAGTATGTTGAAGCTGTCGAAGTTTGCACCCAAGTACTTAAATGTTTTTGTTAGTTTTATTTTCATATTATCGGCTTGTATGTGGTCGGAGATTATATTTTTTCCATGTATAGTGATTATATGCAGGCCTGAAATAGAGAAAAAAAAAAATAACAACTAGGGATAACTTTTCTGTCAATGCCATCTGGTGGTGTATGTTCAGCTTATCTGTGACAATTATGCAGTCAGGGATGAAAAGCTGGGTTAAGCGGGAACCTTGAGGTTGCCAAAACGCCACATCCTGAGCGCGGTGTCTGTATGTAATTGCTGACCCTATAAGACCAGTAGGCGAGCGACTAACAGGGCGCCTTCCTTGAGTGACTGACATCTCTACCACACATTTTTAAAGGAATCACAAGCCACCACGGTCCAGCTACTACAGTGACATACTTTATATAATGAGAAGAGTGGGGCGGGGTGTTCCTTCGTGCTGATGTGGTCAAGCCGTTTGTCCTGCGTACTGAACGTCATGGGTTTGTTCCACGGCTGTAAACTTCAGTTCACGAGGGCAGTTTTTAGAGAGATTCATGGAGATCGTGTCTAGAACTATGGACTTCGTGGTTTGGCCGGCGCTCTCAGCAGGCGGCTAGCCGTTCTGCAAAGAGAGACTGAGCCATATGGTATAAACCTGGGTGCAATGAAGTCGATCCTCTCGACAATAACTTTTCCTCCCTTCATTAACATTAAAATAATGGCTATTTTAAGGGAGAGTGGGAGATCAATAAAAAGTCATCGTAACTATCATCATATACGTTCACTATTGTATAATTGGCAGCAAACAAGATATCGAGAGTGTTGAAGAAAGTCACCCTACCGACTCTAAGTTACGAGAAATGCAACAGCCTGTATGGGAGAGTCTCAAGCCATCTGTTTTGTGCTGGTGTCGTCAACGGAAACAGTGATCTCTGTGGGGGTGATTATGGTGGACCGGCTGCTTATTGGATGAACTATAAAATACCTTTCTTGCGAGAATGGGGCGAGATATATAATCTTCTCGGTAAGAGATTGTTTCTTTGTAGATAATATACCTCTTGGTATAGGCTTTAAACCTGTTTATAAATACGGTTAGAACAAAGAAGAACAAACAATAGATTGCAAAATTTATTGCCAGGCATATTCGCGGTATAATATTTGGTGCATACTCCAAGAACAATTATTTAAAATAGGCAAATAAATTAATTCTTTATAACTAGTACAAATTTAAACACACTGAAAAGCTCTAAATTAACTGCCTGTTTTGTTTCTTTTAAATATCACACCTCAATTGACTTCACAGGACAGTCCAACATTTTAGAAGACTAGGTTTCCCGGTTTTCGGATGCTTTTAACGACTGTGCAGCCTAGGTCCTACTATTGCATGGAGCCTATCCAACACCCCCTGGAATATTAGACTGTCCCATGACCTGTGGATTTTCCCTGTTTGGGGTAGGATATTATTATAGCAACTCCTGTATCACCAAGGTAACCAGCAAATCACAAACATGTCTTTCTGTTTACAAAGTTCAGGATGGAGTTGAAGAAATACGGTGGACAACGGAAGACAGATGCATATTATATAGTCCTCATATTATACTATACTATCAGTAAATATACAGCACGGAACAATGGTCAGGCTACGCACAAATGGAAATGCTCAGAGCATAGCTGCTGGACGTTCATGCGCCGACCCTAAGGAATGAAGTCTTCTGTAAAATCACATTGGATAGCAGATGAATTAAGCCAAAAAAGGGGTATTAAATGTAAAGACGGTTGATTTGCTATTTACTACATCTTGAATGCCAATTGGTCTATATAATGTCTAGGGATAAATGCTCGTTCCCCATAATGCTTGAAACGTGTCCTTTTTTTTTAAAATTAGGGTTCGCATCGGCGAAGTACCAAGCCATCTTTTCCGAGCGCCTCTAAAGTAGTAGGTTCGTTTCAAGACCCCATCTTTCGGTTCACGACTGCTAATTTTTGCAGGTATCGTTACTGGAGCTATGGTTTGTGAGCTTTTGTGTGACGCTTTGTGTAGGTGGCTAGCTGTTCTGCTGAGAAAAACCACTCCATTTGGGTTAAACCCTAATGCAATGAAGTTGATCTCTCAAAACTGCTATTTAGGTTTCAATTCTTTTGTTTTTGTTTTTTTATACACAGGTAAGTCCTTTCAGAAATATGACAGTTTAGCGTATCTTACAAACCGGCTCGTTTCTCAGAAAAGGACTAGAGAAGTGAAGCAGAAGAAGTATTCCCGGAATGTTCGTTTACTTGACGGAAAAGATAAATAATTAGAGGTAGTGATGAACAATGCTGTGATATAATCACTAATGTGGAGAAATAAAGAAGTTAACAGTGGACCAAGAGGTGAAGAAAATACGCTGCCATTGAAAAGGACAAACGCTGAGAAAAACTTCACCCAAAAAAAACAAAAAAAAAATCAGAAACAGAGACATGTTTAAAGAAACTGAAATATTAGAAGGCGAATTCAGGCCTTCTTTTCATGTAATAAGTGATGAAAATGGTAACACATTAACGGAAACCAAATACGTATTAAAAAGATAGGAAAAAAAATGTATAGAAATGTATGCGGATCTGATAAGTAATTAAAAAACAACTTATGAAAGTTATAGGAAAGAATCAGAGCCTTTACTGAATGAGATACGATTAGCAACACACAGCCTGAAGAAAGGAAAATCGCCAGGCTGCGACGAAATACCAGCAGAACTAATTCAATCAGGAGGAGAGGCCAACGTCCGAATCTACAATGCACTGTGCACTAAGATCTGGAACAGTGGCATTTGGCCTAAAGTGTGGGGAAAAAAATCTATATCCCTCTCCCAAAGATAGGAAATCTGAAACTATGCTACACCGTACCGTCGCAATAATAAGTCATGCTAACAAAATCCTCTTACAAATTATCATGAGGAATTTTTCAAGCAAAAAACAAAAAAAAAAGAGTAGACTCAAACGAGGCAAATACTGGATGGGTCCGGCTGAGGATGCCATCGAACATGTTTGTGGCCTGCCTGACATCAATTTTGGAAATGAATGGATAATTATGCCTCCCTCACCAAATATTATTATTACATTCCATATCACACTTGAGTGAAGCTGTAGAGAGCAGATTCCTTGCATTGTTGACACTTTAGTCAGAACACTGATTGACGACAACACAGATGAAGTTGATGTTGTAGATTACACAGATGGGTCAGTAATTAGGGTCAAGCGAAGTGCATGGGCCTTCACAGTAAGCTCAAGAGGAAAATCCATCAAGGAGATGGAATGGCGTCTTTGCTGTTACTGGTAGCCTTACAGTGGAAACTATGGCTGTAACAAGGGCTTTAGAATAGCTTTGTATTCAAAAGTTCACACACGTATGCTTTCTTAGTGACTCGTTAAACACGCTTTAAAAAATCCAAGCTGGATTTATCAGGCAAGAATAGATTGAAACACTAAGCACTTCACGAATATCTGTCTTACCCTTCATCTTTGTGCCAGGTTGTGCGGGTGTTCAAGGGAACGAGCGTGCAGACTATCTTGCTGACACTGCAGTTGCAATGGCTGGCCCAGGAATGGACAAAAGTGATGTTATTAATGCGATGCGCTGCACTTAACGTACAGAGGAGCACGCCAAAAGACATGACGCCATATCCCGGTCTAGACTGATGGACATGGGAACTGCAAGAAATGAACATTTCACTAAGAGGACAGGACGTGCGTCATCAGTCGTTTCGCACTTGTGGAGCTTTTGAGGAGGAGATCGGAGCACCCATGGATCTGTCCGGAGTGCTGTGAAGATAATCCTTTCCAATCACTAATCACTAATGAAGAGGATTAAAAGGCTATTACAATATGTGCTACATGAAGCCCAATCTGGATTCAGACAGGGTAGAGGAACTAAGGATTACATCTTTAATATGAGAATAACTTTTGAAAAATGCATGGAATACAATGTAGATCTTCATGCTTGTGTTATTGAATACAACAATGTATTGATTCTGTCCAACATCAGAAACTGTGGAATATTACGATAAGTATGGGATTTCCAGCGCATTTATTGCATTAATTTAAAATCTTTATCTATTGGCAAGTAGCCATTAGAGCAGCTGGTGAAACCTCAGATTGGTTCGAGGTGCACAAAAGAGTGACGCTGGGGTGCATTCTCTCAAGATACCTATTCAATATATTCGCAGAAAGTATAATGAGGAATGTCAAAAGTTACCCGACTTGTGACATTTATGAAATTGGTTGCAACTCTATTCTGAAACTTTGCAGATGTGAGAGTCCTCCCTTTGAAGAGCGTAAAGGAAATAGAACATTTAATATTGTCAGTCCAAAAGCACAGTGAAGATCAAAATTTGTTTTTGAATGTAAAGAAAACGAAAATAAGGTCCACAGACAAAACTGGCGGTCACCCAAAAAAATAACAAAAAATGATGAAGAAATTGAACATATCACAAACTTTGAATATCTAGGCTTTATAAAAAATAGCAATAGAGACTTTTGGACAGAAATTTAAAAAAGGATCCCCATAGGAATGCAAAGATTGAACAGCCTTAAAAGTCAATAGTTAAGCACCAGCAAAGAGATCAAAATTAGAATTTTGAGAGCATGCATCTTCCCTGTGGCTACATACAAATGTGTGTCGTGGACTATCTCTCAGTCCTTAAGAAAGAGAAAAGGGGCTTTTGAGATGTAATGCTGTAGAAAGATTCTCAGAATTTGTTGACTAAGAAGAAGAAAAATACTTACATCTTGAAAGATCTAAACATAAAGAAAGACTGGCTAATAAACAGAACAGCATCCAGTCACAAAAGCTGAACTATTTTGGTCATCTAAAGCGCTACGACGGATTGGAAAACCTTATACAAGAAGGTATGCTACCAGGAAGGAGGGAAGGTGCCGACAGACACGAAGATGGGCACAGGATATAAGTGACTCCTTGTGTATGAAAGTACATGAGGCGGGAGAGATGGCAAGAGACCGAGTTTCTTTCAGGAAGACTGTGATGAGAGCGACTTTCTGCAAAGGACCTACTACATGATGGTGATGGTGATGAGAATGTATTTGCATTGAAAACACATTAGGCGATAAAAGTAAAGGGCGAGGGGGGGGGGAACAAGGAAAATGGAGCTAAAGAGCAAACTTAACATGAGAAGAGCTGCTTGCGATAGCCAAGGATAGAATGACATGGCGTGATATGGTTGGGAGCCTATGCTCCATTGTAGGTTAGAAAGGCAGAAAAAGATAAACAATGTGAAAAGATTTGAAGGTGAGCTGTAAAAGATGGCAAAAAATTAATATAAATTGAGATAAAGAACAGCAAATAAAGTAGCAAAAAGTGCAGATTCGAAACAGAACGTCTGGCCAAAATGTCTGATAACTTGCTGACGGATGATGCTTTAAAAGCTTGTTTGTCTCCAGCTTATTTTGCTGACTCCAGTTCTTCTTACTTTTTTAGACTGATAGATAGTCCAGAGGTTCCTTCTTCCAGAAACTGCTATGAGTAGTTGATGCGAAAGAGTAGGCTATGGATTTCATGTGAACTTATTGTTTTCATTATTATGATTCTTGTGCCCACGGCACAAGCAGGTAGCGATTACATTAAATATAGCATTTACTTTTGCCGGAGATTTTCTGTCTTTTGTGATAGACTGTTTTCACCATTTATGAGCTGTAATTAGGGCGTGAGACAGTTAGTGTTGGAACATTTGACAGCGGCATTATGCATTTTTAATGTGTGCATGAAAGGCTCACAGTTTCGCTGGAACTGACATATATTTTCAGTAGTTTTCAAATAAGACAGTGCAGAGCATTCGGCGTAATCATCGGTAGCACACAGGAACATGGCTGCTATGGGGCGACCCGTGTGCAGTGAAGATAGTACCTTAGCTAACGACCATACTTAAATAGATAAACAACAGTTTAAAATGACAACAGTAAAATGTTAATTATTCTCTGCCCTTCTGTATGGTGCAGAAACCTGTTAGGTAATAAGCTACTGTGATGTCTAATTTA